CAAAAGATTGCACTGAAGAACCATAACTCCTAGCTGCAGGTGACATGAGTCAACTTGCCTGTGGGCAGTTGGAAGCCCTGGGTACTGTACTTAGACCTGAGCTGGAGTAATTGGCAGGACACATCTAGTGTCACACTTGCAATGCAAATGTCAGGTTACTTCAACCTTGGGAACGGGCATTGCAAAGTGACAATGCACACCCCTGAAGGCAGACAGTGTCCCTGTCTTTGCAGTTTCACTGTTCCAAGGGCAGCTTGGGGGTTTAGGCTTCACTGAGGCACTAATGCAACTGCAATGATACATGTAAGTGGTCACTGCACCGAGCCTGTCTGAATTTAAGAAGAGATTGGACTGTGCACTTAGTCACATGGTCTGAACTTGGGTAGACCTGTGCGGTGTCAAGAGTTGGACTTGATGATCCTTAAGGGTCCCTTCCAACTCAGGATATTCTATGATTCTATGATTCTATGTCAAAAATAGAATCATAGAATCATCGAATATCCCAAGTTGGAAGGGACCCATAAGGGTCATCAAGCCCAACTCCTGGCACTGCACAGGTCTACCCAAAAATTCAGACCATGTGACTAAGTGCACAGTCCAATCTCTTCTTGAATTCAGACAGGCTTGGTGCAGTGACTACTTCACTGGGGAGCCTGTTCCAGTGTGCAACCACCCTCTCAGTCAAGAACCTTTTCCTGATGTATAGCCTAAAATACAAAAGCAATTTAGCAAAATCACCCTGAGATACCCAGAATTCTGCATAAGTACAGTTTATATGTAGAAAGCTGGATGGACATGGTAGATCGTCAGTCAGGGTGAGCAGAGCACCTCTAGTACCAGCTTCTGCTTTTGATTCTGAATTTCATTTTAGGAGTGGAAAAAAGGCATTGTATTTTCAGTTCCCAAAAACCTAACCTTCACACATATATAAATATTTGATTTAACGTGATGCATATTTGTTTGCAGTTTTCTTCTTTGTATATTTATCTATTTATTTTGTCTCGGTAAGATCTGTGAAAATATTTAAACACTAGGAAGGACTGGGTACTTAATCTTTTGGGATTTACATGGTTGATCATCGGTAAGAAGTTCCTCTTGAATGTCAGTCTCTCCACAACAGCTTGTATAATGTTCTATAGAATGATAATAAATAACAGTAGTGACACAGGGAAGGGTTTACACTGAACAGTAACTATTTCTGAGCAAACAGAATGGAATTAATTCCTGGTACATTTTGTATTTTTCTTTTGCTGTTCAGAAGTAAGATTTCACTTTTTTAAGATCAGTGATGTACTACTTTTGCAATTCTGACACTAAATCATCGTGGTGTCATAAAGTATTCTGCAATAATGAAATGCTTCTGAAATCTTTGCAGCCAGTACAGGGCAGGGAATTGGTGCTATGGTTTGATTCAAAGATCGAAGCCGAAATTCCTTTAAGTGGTATATTCTTTATTGCAGCGCTGGATGCACGGGGGATCTTTCCACCTATCGTGCATACCCAAAGCGGAAAGCAGTCTTGAATTTATACAATCAATCTATCAATATTCTACAAGCGCCTATACATATGCATTACCTATCCCCGCCTTCCCTCGCTTCTCATGCTAATTAGCCTTTTGGCACCTTGCGCCTGCGTAGAGCCTCCCAAGAATTGTGGGCAGGGGTCTTTGGGACGTGGGCAGGGGTCTCTGGGAGGAAGACCCCGAGTCTTCCTCACAGTGTACTTTTCACCTTTGGTCAGGAATCTGCTGAATTGGCACGTTTCTTAATTGCGAGAGCTGGTTGTTGCCAATTCTTCCGTTTGTTGTATCTTTATAATGAATTCCAATGTCCAATTTTGAGATTTATAGTCCTTACATTTGTTTCTCTGTCCGTCTGCCGCTTCCTTATCATGAGTTCCAGTGTCTTGTTTCGAGATATACAGTCCATGTCTGGGGATTGTCCTTGCCTCCCCAATGCCTCCCCAATACCTCCTTAATCAGGTTGCCTTGGAGTGCCAGTGAATGTGGTACAACATTTAGCATACAGCTCACAAACATACATTGACCATGGTTTTCCTCTTTACCTGCAGCTTCTGGGCACAACCTGTGGGATTTTCACACAAAAAATGCAACACTCTTTCCTTTAGTATGACCTGCTGAGACATCCATTGTTGCCCACTCCCACTTCCACACATGGAGGCTCAAGATTCCCATTTGTTTAATTTCCAATGGCAAAGAGAGGTTGTCACCCCCATGTAGATGATCCTGTTGCCACCACCTGCCACAAAGCCTGGCTGCCCTCAAAGATCATTCAATAAATGCATCTAGGAGTAAAAACAAATAAACAAACAAAAAAAAGACAACCAAAAAAGCAGGTGCACAATGCACTGGACTGCTATCAGCCTGTGACTTCTGATGACAAAAATACTTACTACCCTTCTGGCAACAGTCTGCACTTTAAAAGTCAATGCAAATCAGGTGGTTTTCATAATACTGGCAAAAAACAATCTACCAGCATTGAATTTATACAAATGAGATGTTTTCAAAAATATTGAACCTCATTTTTAAAGAACTGAGGAAACTAAACTTTTTGATAGAGTCTTCAAGCCTGTGACATTTTTCTAGGAGAAGGGCTGGATGAAAATGAAGGACACTGAACAGGACAAATTTCTCTCTTCAGAAGGAAGAACTAGGAAATTCATTCAATTCTTGGATAAAGTTCTACCAACACTGACCAAGTGTTTGATTATTTAACTGCCAAGGTGATGAGCAAGAGTCAACACTGGCTTCTCAAGAAACCATGCCAAACCAATCAGGGCAGCAGGTACTTTGAAGAAAGATAAAGATACCACAGATAAGACCCAGTGGTGCTTTTGGCTCTGCTTCCAATTATATACTTGTAAGCAAACTATCAAAGCCTGGTCTCAAAGAAACTAATTCAGAGTGGGTATAAAACTAACTAAAGAACCTATTATTCAGACATGAATCACTTGATCTCTCTTTGAACACTGGATCACTTCTTCATCCACTACATCATAGGAGCGGAAAATTCAGCTGAGAAAACATACCATGTGATTTCTCCTCCACTTCCTGTCTGCAGTTTGTAGTTCTGGGATACCTGAACTATATTGGTGTCTTTGTGTCTAATACACTTTGGAAGGTTCTTTCTTCCATTAATTTGTCTGATCAGTCGCTGGACTTGTTCTGTGCTCAGTGGTTTCACAGTTATGTGCTGTGTGTAAACCTCTCTCCTTTTGCTTATTTTTGTCCCTGTCTTTTGGTGACTTTAGTCTTCCTTTCATAAGGAGTTCTGGGCCCTTGCTGCTAATGAAAAGAGTTTATTATTCCACAGTAACATTCTTACACTCACCCATCTCACCTATCTGATCTCAAACTGAAATTATTAAGAAATCGAAGATGAATAAATTATAGCAGTATCTTTTGTGGATGATTCATTCTTACCTTTCAAAATTTTTGTCTTATTTTTGATTATTCTTCTGGGTTTAATTTATATAATTTTGCACTTGTTCCATCTTTCCTGGTAGAATGAGGAGTCAGTTCATAGTGTGGCAGAAGTAGTGATTTCAAGTCCCTCAGTGACTTGGACAGGATGGAAGTGCCTGCTTTTGCACTGAAGAAGGCAAGACCATGTGTAGGCATTTGGCTTACTGGTGGAGGAGAAGGAAGGATAGATACGTGCTCTTCATTTTCATACTAAGATATGTTTTAAGTACTTCACCACTGGTAGAGGTGTTCAGATATATGTACAATCTAAGTCAGTACTTAATTTTCTTTTCAGTAAATTGATGGGCTTCTGAAAAAGCTTGTCTGAGCCTAAAAATTTGGCTACTTAAACTGAATACTCATATGAATATGAATAAACATATGAATATCATATCATATCATATCACATCATATCATATCGTATGAATAAACAGAGTACTCTTATTTTCTGAATATAGCTTTACCTGGTACAAGTGCCTTATGTAGGATGTTTTTGTTGTTGTTGTTGTTGTTGTTGTTGTTTTTCCCCACATTGTGGTCATGAGCATTGTCTTTTGAAATAATCCTGACTGATGTTCAAAGAAGTAAATTCTTGCTTCTACCTTCCTGTTTGCCCACTGAAGTGCAGCCCTTTTTCCTACCGATCCACCTTGTTCTGTGCAACTGCCTTGTTCTTTGTCCAGTGTTTTTCATCCACAATTATGAACACAGATTTTATTTTAATTTCCAAATCATTGATGATCTGACAAGTTTTTAATTATACTAATAAAGTTATTAAGCAATTTGAAATGGGATACAACTTTGGTTTTCCTTGATACAAATTTTGGCAAGTACCTGAAATGGCACTTACTCAACTATGTCACTTTAAAATAAGGTTGCAATCTTTTTTTATTTTTTTATTTTTTATAAATATCATGTCTTCACTCCTGCCAAATCTACAGATTCTGATGGCTGGTTACTGCTTATGGTTTTGTATAGTGCTATGACAAATGCATGCAGCCTTCTTCTGCACACTTATGGTCAGCAGTTCATAGCACATATTCTGAAAATACAGGGCACACACAGAGAAACTGCATGCAAGCCCACCGGTCCACCAGGCAGACGTGCTTATTTTGACCTTTGCATACTCTGCAAACACATGTTGGCAAAAAGACACATCTCTGGCTTTCCAAACCAGCAGACATGTCAACCAAAAGGGAAAAAGAAGGCAAATTCCACCATTATCTTCTACCTTCATAAAATTAAGATGTTCCCTTTCACCTTGCAGAAAAGAAATGTGTGCCTTTACTCTTTTTCCTTTTTTACTGTTTTTTTTTTTTTTTTTTTTATTTTATTTTTTCAAAAAGGAAGTACACATTTACCAAAAAGGGATAGAGGTGTGTACACCTTTCTTAATTCAGGAAAGTAAACCAGCAGATATTTCCTCTTGGCTCAACCTGGTCCCAAGTTCTCCCTTTTTGGCCACACCCAGGTCAGACCCAGCTGATTTCTGCCCTGCTGCAGATGTTATAAATGACTGGCTAGTTTCCCAGTCTTTTGAACTCTGCAGAGATGGAAGGTAAGATCAGTGCTTTTTAATCTTAAGTCTGTATTTAACCAGTTTGGTATTTCTGGTGTGGGTATCGATGCATTCCTTAACTGAGCCCAAGGAGATGAGGACACAGAGTAGAGCATTAGGAGCTGGTGTCTCTACTTACTTCTCTCAGCATACCTAAAATACATATATTTTGAGAAGTGAGAAAAAGGGGTTTTCCTCCCTCACGTAGCAATACATGGCAGTAAAAGACTGCAAGGAATAAGCAGCTGTCAATCCCTGTGAAGAATTTCCCTGGGCTGCAAATACAAATAGCCTGGCTCATGATGAGAATTTCACCAGTTCCTCCAAATTTTATCTTCATTTCCTGTTCTAAACTGTTAAAATATTGACTAAATGGCTTTATATATATACATAATTACAACCTTTTTGTTAAGTAATTCCTTCCAAGGAAGTCATTCTGCTACTGTATATACAAAGTCTGGAGGACCAGTGCTAGATTTGCCTCCTCATCAGTAACAAGACTGAGAAGGGGAAGAGAGGGCAGGCTGACCATGAATTTATGGAGTCTCCTTCACACCAGCCACCTGCAATGGACCCTCCCAATCTCCGTACAGTGGGACACTGTCCTCTTCTAATACACTTTCCTGACAACCCTTGTCACTGAAGGTTGAACTGTATTTTGCTATCTCCTTGGCAATTACTCAGTGCAATTTATTAAATGTCCTACATCACAGGTACAGCCTTGTGTCCCACCAAGACCTGCAGCTACTGTCTTTGCAAGTCAGAATCCCACCTACAAACCTGATCAGAGGGGTTCTGTATTTTATTCCTGGGTCCTGAAAGAAATACTCCAACCAAACAAGGCCTGTCAATCCCTTCTGATGGTTCAGGGAAGCTCTGCCCATTCATTTATGTGAACTGAGAATTATTATGTTTTGTTTCTCTCTAGGCATAAAACTGATAGTAACTCTGCAAGGAGTAATCATCACCTTCTGCTTAGTTGGGCCATTGGACTCCTCATTAAATCGTAAGTTTGTTTTTCCTCCTGCTGATATTGTGCTTGAAAAAATGTGATGTTTTATGGGCCATTTGAGTCAAAACTCAGTCTGATTTCCTAGTTAGTCATAGCTCCGATATAAGTTTGAAATACCCTTCAAATTTGCCCACTGACAATGAAATCAATGCCTAAGAAGCTTGCCTTGTTGGGTCTTCCAAGGGCGTGAGTATCATTTTATGACAGTAAAACTGGTCACAGACCATATATTTGGCTTCTTCCATGTTATATCTTAAGTGAATGTCCCTTCTTAAGGGGAAGAATAACTTCAAAAAGAAGGGTGAAAATTAACTCTCTAAAGATGCCCCAAAGCCAACAGAGTCAAGTATGACATGGATAATAAGCTATCACTTTATAGTCACTTACTGTCCTATAACTTTCATGACCTTAGTAATGGGGCAAAGCAGGTGAACAGGAGGAACAGACAAATCTGTCAAAGTAGTGCTAAAAACATAGTGAGAATTGCAAGTAAAGTGAGTCAACATGCCCCAGCACCCAGAGATAGAGTGGGATGTGTAGCTCCTGGTGTGCACTACAAAGTATCAAAGTATCCTCAATTTCTGCTTTTTGAGTAGAGCACTTGGAAGCGCTATCAGACTCATCTCTCCTGAGCACCATAAATGAAGCCAGGCAGCTGGTGGATTCAGCATACTTACGTGCCCGAAAAAGGTGAGTCTTTTTTTGCACAACAGCTTCAACATTATAAGGCAATAAGAGGAAATATTTGTTCTTCTCTCCAGTGCGTGTCTATTAAGGAGACACCTTTATATAAGGACTCTCCCTGTTATAGTTGAAGAGGTCCTTTTCCTCAGTCTGGCTGGATCTGGTGTCTAGTGGTATGAGCATGATGTGTCTGTGTCACCAATGTTAAAGGGAGTCAAAAACCAGGAACTGGTTTATACCATTTGTATTGTCCCCGAAAGCCAGTTCCAGGCAGCAGGCTGTTTTGGGGACGAGTCCCTTTTTCTACAAAAGATTCCTGGGGCCAGGAACAGAAACAGCATATCCAAGACAGTTTCTGTTCACAGAATATATATTAGGGCATCCTAAATGTAAAGTTTTATCCAGTGACTGAATAACTCAGTTTTCCACAGATTTTTTTTCTAGCTTTTCACATAGTTTAACAAGACTCATTGTGACAAGGATGTAAAGCAAACTTGAAAGGGATTACAATGACTTGTTTTCCAAAATTTACCTAAGATAGAGATATGCAAACCTGATGAGTAGTCAGTCATGACTAAGTACACCAGCCCTGCAGGGCAGAAGACGTCACTTCACAGGGCTCTTTCCTGTTTAGTTTAAAGCAAAAACTAGAGGAAAAAGTTGCCAGCCCCATGGATTTCCTGAAGCACTTAAAGGAGCCTGTAGGAAGAACCAGATGTGCAGTCCGTGCTGCTGACTATTTGGAAACTACCTTGAAACTCCTCAAAGGAAAGCTGCAGCTGCTTGGGAAGGGGAGATTCAATGTTACAGGTAATGTGGTTTAGTCCAAAATATCTTGCCAACAGCAGAAAAGCTATCACAGCAGGCACATTAGAGAGCAGCTCTGCCATGATCCAAACAGCTGGTTATAAAGCCCTTCCCTACAGAAGCAAAGCTGGTTCTGTTTGACTTTATGGTCCTGGGTGAGCAGACCCTGTAAATAGTGGAAAGATAAAGTGTGTTCAGAGGCAGACCCAGACCACCTGGTGTATTAATCATCAGTTTGGCACTGCCTCTTTCAACTCATATCTTTGATTAAAAAAAAAAAAGCCTAGAGTGAATGGGGGTAGTAACAAGGTTGTTAAGAATAAGTAGAATAAATCTGTGACAAACCATGCTGAGTGTCAGGAGACTCTAGCCTCCAAGGACAGAAGCACATCTACATGCTCATGATTTTGTTCCCAGTCAAATATAAAACTTTGCTGGTGATGATGGTCCCCAAATCTCCTGGAAAGTTGTTCCATGCCATCCCAGCTTTCCTTGCCCAGAGATGACAAAAGGTTTTAGGGATCAAATTAACAATGGAAACACAGCTGTTATATTTCCACAGTCCTGACTCAGATCACAGCTAGCGTGCCTCTAGTCAACCCAGCCCTGCCTGTGCTAGAGAATATAAAGGACACACAGATGAGCAATTTCTCATCTATTCTGCCTGAATGTTTCTGAGATATCAACCAAACGGGGCTCTTCAAATTATTGCAGTGGTCCTGACTGTATTCCTTGTTTTATTCCCAATGGATTAATTCCTAGAACAAATAAAACAATTGTCATGTGACCTTGCTGATGTTGGAGGTACATTGTGTCACAGCTGAGGAGTGTGAACCAGCCATCTGGAGTCTTTGAGCTGAGCACAGCTGCTAAAGCACAGGCTGCAATGCCAGGTAATTGGCAGCTGCAACGTGCCCACCATCAAGCTGATGCTGACAATTTGCTGGTGCAAAGAAGTTCTTGTTTAAGACAACTTCACTAGTGCTGAGCTCTGGTGTCATCCCTTCCTGCTAAGCCTCACAGCGTTACCACTATTCTCATAGTATCTCACATCTCCTCTTCATTTTTTTTTTTTTTTTTTGTAGTTACTAGACTTAGTAAGAGCAGAGTAATTCTGGATGAGCTAATGGTCTGTGGCACAGAGAGGCAGAAGTTATTATGAGGAAACCAGTTACTGCATATCAGCTGGTACCCAGCAACTTTTTGCGTATGTGTTCTTAGGCCAATAAATGCCATGTGATAAATATCTGTAATAGAACAGGGATAAGTGAAGACCTGCATTTGGTCAGATGAATCATGAGCTGAACTTCAATGTAACTACCCCTAAGTAACTTCAGGAAAGCTGTCAACTCTAGACACCAAAAGTCAGTGCATGAACCTTCTCCATTTGTGATTCATCTTCAGAGAAAATTCACTGAGCTTGTTAAAGCCATTGTACAAGTTTAAATCCCTGAGAAGAAGTGTTATCTGGTGGGCGTTAGTTGCTGACATTTTCGGCATAGACCCACTGTTTCCCATGCCAAGATTCTTGTGTTGCTGAGAGATGAAGTAGGCAGATATTGGTAACAGAATGGCAGAAAATGCATTCTTCTTGTGGAATACAGTTTAAATCAGAGGAAGTTTTAAATAACATTTGATGTTGGTGCAGTGGATGCTGACCTTACTAGGGATACAGAAATTTCAAGCATTAACTTAGAATACCAAAAAGATACAATAAGAGTGAATGTTGTTTTGCATGGTTTCTTTTGCAGACCTCCTAGACACAAAACAGAAGGAGATGATTTCCAGAGAAACTGGCTGTGACTATCATTCTATTAAATGCCCAGAGGATGATATTTACCGGACCATTACTGGAGAGTGTAACAACAGGTAGGATTTGTGTGTGGGCAAGGAGTTTATGCATTGACTTGGTTAGAAGTCTTAAAGCCATTTGTGTACCTTTCAAAAGGGCAAGAAGAGTGAAATGTCTTTTTTAAAAAAATTATTATTATTATTTTTTAATGATGCCAGTATCAGATGTTTCATTTCTATTTATACCTGGCAGGAAAAAAGATATGTCTTGAAAATTTTGCATATAAGTCCACTGCTCTCCATACATTGCTTTGGCTGAAGGAAAGGAATTCCTGGGGTGCAGAAGGTCAAAAGTTGAGGAAAGAATATTTGGGGACTATGGAATCCTACCACTCTCTCTGTTTGAGGTCCCAGAAAACCTCCCCTTCCTCCTTTGTAATACTAGTAATATTGATTTTCCCAGCCTTAGGGAGACTCCAAGTTTTGAACCTGATGAGCATCGATTATAAAAATTTTTAACTTCAGATTTCTTGGACATAGTACCTAAATAATATTTTTAAAAACATAGGTCTCATGGGTCCTGTGAATATAAATAATCCTTGTTTGTTATACTCCAGTAAGAATTATGGCACATGAGACTAATTTTAGTGCCTGGTTTGTATAAACGCATCTTTATAACTCTCAGCATATCTGTGGCTATCCAAGTACATACTCTTATTTGCTTCCCATTCTTATGCATCAAAAGACTTTCATTCTTGGCTTTTTAGCTCCGCATAGCACGATCCTTTAAGCTGGAAAAAAAAAAGAGTTTTTCACTTTTCTGGGCATTGTTACTTCCTGGTTCAAACCTGGGATCATACTTTGGTTTGTTTCTCCTTGATAGCTTTTTGTTTGTTTGTTTTTGGTTGGTTGGGATTTTTGATGAGCAGAAAATTTCTAGCCTGATACTTGGAAAGCAAAGCATACTGTCCTGGTCTGCCACAGATTTGCTGCCTGATCTCAAGCTGAGCAAGATCCATTTTAAATGATTTTTATATAACACAGATCTTTATATAACTCCAGACCCCAGATGTGATTGCACATCACAGCTCTATATGACCTGTGTGGGGAGCTCACACTCAGTGTTGGCATTATGGTTAATCTGTACTTTCGCTCCATCCACAGAGGCTTCAGCACCCAAAGAGCAGCTATGCCCATGCTGTTTCTTAGGCTCACAGTAGGGTTGTCTTCTGGCTTCCTAATCCAGTGAGATAACAAGATACTCAGTAACAAAGGCACTCTGTGTTTTATAAAGATCATTTAAAATGGATCTTGCTCAGCTTGAGATGCACACCATGAGATAGTGCTTGAATACTCTGCAAAAATTTCCTGTAAGGACAATAATAGCAATCGAAACAAGCTGTGGAGGTAATGGGGTCTGTACCAATTTATTTATTTTATAATTGCTTCAGCTATGGTGTGGCATTTGTTCTAGGGCATGCTCTAATTTCACAGCACATTGGTGTGAATTCTGGGTATACTACCTCTTCTTCAGTATAGACAGGTATTACCCCATGTTTATTGATTTAAAAGTTTATACACAGACAGTTGATGTGCATAAGCTGATATTCAGTAACTATCTTCCTCAAAATAGCCTGTTTTACTGTGTCCCTAGAGTCACAGATCATTAGCTCAACCAGTATTATTGTTCTTCTGAACAAGTTTTACTAATGTTATTGATAACGCAGTTATAGAATAGTGTAGAAATGTATAACCTACTCCCTTTCAAGATTGCCTAGTTAACTGAAGCTAACCTTGAGTTTATTGACTGAGTGATTTCAAAAGCTGTTTGGGGAAAAAATCTGATGGTTCATAGTTCCCTACAAGGAATTTGCTTTTAGTGTTTCAAGTCACAACCAGGATTAACTCTTATTGTGCCAAGTCAGCTGAGGAAACCTGTCTTCAAAACTGGTAGGCACACAGATAAGTTTAAGAATGCTCTCACCTTGCAACTATTCATTTGTACTGCAAATAGGGCCCATGACATATTGGATTATAGAAGGAGGAGGAGGAACATGACGTGCAGATAGAGGGTCCAGTTTTGGATAGTCCATAATTCATGAGGGATGCAAAACAAACTAGTGAGGATTTAGCAGAGGACTTTCAGGAATATCAGGGGCCTAGAGCACATGGCCTATGAGAAGGAGTGAAGGAAGCTAGGCTTCTGTAGTTTGGCTAGGAGGAGGCCAAAAGCAGATCTAGTATCTGCATCAGCTATTTGAAGTGTAGTTACCAAACAATGGAGTCAAATTCTTCTAATTAATGTGGGAAAACATACTTACTATAACTGCAGATAGCACTTTGAGCTGTTTATGCTGGACAAGGGGAAAACTTCCCGAAGGAGCAGCCTTGGGACTGGTCCCCACTGAGGTGAGGGACCTTCATCCTTTGGTGGAGGATCTTCATCCTTTGAGGCTTCCAAGCCTCAACTGGACAAAGCATAGCCACCCTGATAATTGATGATGGCCTTACTGTGAGACTGTGATTTTGTGTGACCAAGGTGCTAGAGAGATATAAATTCCAAATAAAATTAATTTAATGTCATGAGGAATCTTATTTTTTAAAAAAGTTTATTTAGATAAACTTTAATAAATAAACTTAAAAAAAAAGAAGAAGAAAAGACGCCTCATGACATTATATTAATTTTATTTGGAATTTATAATAATAATCCACAGTCATAATCTTGGTATTGTTTACTTCTCAGTGTTTTCTGGCTATCACCTTTGTTACTGGAATAATCAGACATGGATTAAAGGCCTGGAAAGCATTTGTCTACATGCCTGAAATAATTAAATTATCTATGAAATAATACCAGTGTTTGCATTTCTTCTTGTGATGTTCCAGAAAGCATTCTCATTTTGGGGCCTCCAACCATGCATTTGTTCGCTGGCTCCCAGCAGCATATGAAGATGGAGTGTCTGTTCCCAGAGGAGTAAGTGAAGGAAAGCTTTACAATGGATTTCCACTCCCACTGGTGAGAACAGTTACTCTTGTCTGAGTAATAGTAGTGAATGTTGCCCTCAGGAAGCAGAAAGTTATTCACGTTCATCAGAAGTGAAACAATGACAATACCTAGAGTGTAAATTGGCTGCTAAATCAGGTACTAACTTAGAGATTGTTTTCTGAAATGAAGTTGTGGCATGGGCTCATGTGTTTGTCAGAGACAGAGATGAGAAACAATGATGCAAGTACTTCACTAAGCAAAGCCAGGGCAACATCAAAATATTTTCAGAAGTGTGCATTTTCGGGTTTGGTGCAGACAGCACCAGGGTGGGCACAGATACAACAGGATTTTTATACATGCAAGGAGGCTTGGCTGTTCCTAAGCCATCTTGTCTTTATGGGTATGTGCACATACCTCACATCGAGCCTGCCATGAAGAGAGGCTTGGCTGAGTGATTGTGGAGTTAAGATGGTGCTGCAAAAGGGCTGGAGGCTATAATCACATCAATTTTAGTCCAACTGAGACATGGCATGGGGCTGTTCAAAGCCATAATTAACTCTTATGAACGTATCTAAGATCATCTTAGCCATGTTCTCATGGTAGGTGTTATGCTGAAAGGCAAATTCATCTTGGAACAGATAGTCCACACGTTAATTTTGATTTTCTCCAGGTTCGAAAAGTGTCCAATGAACTTGCTCGAACAGGCAATGAGAACGTTACTCAGGATCAAGAGCTCTCTCTTTTCTTCATGCACTGGGGCCAGTGGATCAGCCATGATATAGACTTATCCCCTTCCAGTGGTGCAGGAGCAAACCTGAATCTTCACTGTGAGACCAACTGTACCTTCAAGTCCCCTTGCTTCCCAATCAAGGTACCATGAATTTTGTTCCATCCCATGCCACCTTAATAATAAAAAAAGCCACACAACTTTCTCTGAGGCATTGCTTATGTTTGTTTGCTTTAGTTCCCCCCTGATGACCCACGGGTGCTGAGATCAAATTCTTGTATGCCGTTCATCCAGTCAGCTTCAGTGTGCAATTCCAGGACATTTACCCGCGAGCAGATCAATGCAGTCAGCTCATTCATTGATGCCAGCATGGTGTATGGGAGCGAAGACTCTGTGGCAAAGAGTCTTAGAAATCAGACCAGTTGGATGGGTTTGTTGGCTGTGAACCAGAACTTTACTGATGCAGGGTTGGAGTTATTGCCCTTTGAGAACAAAACAAAAAGTATTTGTGTACTCACAAACAAGAGTATGAATATCCCCTGTTTTAAAGCAGGTAAGGTACATCCATGGAGTAATTTTCTCCTGGGAGCAACAGTGATATTTTAATGGTCCATAAAGCCAAAAAGGATTGTTATGGTCACTTGTCTCATGTCTATTTATATTTGCATGAGGCGCTGCAAGACGTGAATTTATAAGGTGAAAGACAGAGACCACTCCTAAATTTAGAAAGAGTAATAACAAAACAATAATTGTTTAATTAAATACAAAAGTGACTTTATTTTCATTTCCAGAAAGAGTTACAGCAAATCCTCCCCCACCCCCTTCAAAAGTTTTTTCAAAGGTAGGAGATTTTTTTTCAATAGAATAAATAACAGTTTAAAATTTCCCAGTGACTTTTTCCCTCCTACCTAGAATTCACCAGTTTTCAATTCAATAAGTACTAAAAATTAAAAGCTCTTAAATTCTATTAGTAACTCCTTCATACTACAATCTAAATTTGTAATATTTAAGAATATCCCAACATATATCTGAAGACAAATCTAGAAATTTCAGTCTGAATTTTAAACAAGCCAATGACTCAAAAGGTAATGATTTAAAATGGGAAGTAGTCCAGAATAAGTACAATATTAAAACAAAACAAAAAAACTAGAAATGTGAAGCTTTCAAAGGTAATGATAAGAATATAACACGTACCCATTACATAATATTGTCACTTTCCTTCCACATGAGAAGATCCCCTTGCTGAATGAGGAGAGACACAGTGCTTCTGTAAGCTGCCTGAGGGACTTTGCCACATCTCCTCAGTTTTCTCTCCAGCATCTCTGCTGAAAGCACATTCACAAGCCTCTCAGAGGTGTTCATAACTTGAGTGAACTGAGATTTTTCAAAACCAAACATTCACAGTGATACAAAGGAAGATAGTTAAAAGCCTTGAGGTACAAGAGGAAGACAGATGTTAGATTTTCACAAAACGATATGTTTACAGGTACTTCATGAACAAGTGCAATTTAGCTTAAATTGCCCAAAGCCCCCTCTCCAAGGTTTTTGGATAAATGATCTGGATTGTCTGTGATGGAAACAAATATCTGGCATGAGTGTGAGGAAGTGTGACCACAAGCATTACTGTCAGTAGCACTATTGGTTGCTGCTTGTCTGTCCTAACATCAAAATCTGCTGTTGAAATAAAAAGCAGCTTACAAACTTTCTAAAATATTTTCATTTATAGGGGACAAACGCGTAACTGAAAACCTGGGACTTTCTGCTCTGCACACTGTCTTCCTCAGAGAGCACAATCGCCTGGTTACAAAGCTGGGGAAGTTAAATCCTCACTGGGATGGCGAAAAGCTTTACCAAGAGAGTCGAAAGATCATAGTTGCCATGACTCAGGTACCAACCTCTACTCACTGTTTATCACTTGCATCCTTAGAAATTGGTTTTATTCCTGTAAAGGGAGGAAAAATAGTGCTTTGCATAACTCATGGAGATATTTGTGGGAGCTGAAAACTCATGAATAAGCACAGTCCACCTGAGACAGCATGCATGTCCAGAGGTTTTGTGAAACCCACGTGTACTTTCTTTAGCAGATATGAAGATGTTCGATTCAGCTGTTCTTTGTCACCTTGTGTAGTAACAACAGGATGGAAATCATAGAAAATCCTCCTCCCCTTTCTCTAATGCAAATAACATTGCTGCCTTTTTTTTTTTTAATCAATTATTTTACCTCAGCATCTCCTGCCAGACTCATATTATTGCTACAGCTTTTTTTTGTTTTTTTTTTTGTTTTTTTTTTTTTTTTTTGTTTTTTTTTTCTCTCTCTCTCTCTCTCTCTCTCTCTCTTCCCTGAATATCTTACAATGTCTCTGTCACTGGTCTAAGATTCTGTGTTCACTGAGATTCCACGTTCTCTTTGACATTGATGGCATTTCTGCTACAGCTGCTGACCATTTGCTCTGCTTTTATACCTTTTTCAGATAATAACATACAGGGATTATCTTCCACTTGTGCTTGGAGAGGAGACTAACAGGTGGATACCCTCGTACAGTGGTTACAATGAGACTATGAATCCTACGGTATCAAATGTTTTCTCTTTGGCTTTCCGATTTGGTCATACCTCAGTACAGCCTTTTGTATCCCGTTTAGATGACAGTTTTCAGCCTATGAGTCAACTTTCCCATGTCCCTCTTCATTTGACATTTTGTGCTTCTTGGAGAATTATAACAGAAGGTAAGAACATAGGGCAGCCAGCAGTCTTGATCTGGTCCTGAAGTAGGCACTCAGGTGGAGGTACAGTGGTTAGACACAAGCCTAGACTCCAAAAACTGCTCTAGCTCCATTTACTTAATTTTTAACACAAATTATAGTGCCATTGAGCTTGAAAGTTGCTCATGACATGTCTACCCAAGGGGCTGAAGACAAATGAGTGGTCTGCCAGATGTGGCACATCAGAACAGTCCTGCAGAACTGTCTCCAAACATATCACAAGAACATTGAACCTGTACTGTACCCAGGGGAAGGAGCTCTGCCCAAAATTACATGTTGTAATACTCTAGTCATTGAATGTTATTGAGCACCCACTACATCATTGCATTCATATTCTGAACATGCCAGTAAATAACCAGAATATGTAACAGATCAAATCTGCATCTCAGGTGGCCGTCTGCCTATCATCTCAGTGAGACCTGACAGTGTGAGCACTGTGCCTTCACTCAAATACTGTAGTTGCTCATGCTGTTCTGGGAGGCACAAGATTCACAGTGCCAAAAATCAGTCAAACAAAATTTAGGCCAGACTAAGCAAGTTTTGTTTTTTTTATAACCCCCTGTAGTTGGTAGGCATTGCCAGAGGGTGACACATCAATCCAACTGAGCTAAGACAGGATAATTGCTTTCTAGTGGTCTCTTTATGACTCTAAAGAGAGTTATGGAATCCAGCTCTTATACAGCTAATGTCTGCAGGCATGAATCTTTCCAAGGAAGACAAATGTCTCCTCCAAAATGAATTATCTCACTAATTATGGAAAATATACCAAAATGTACGCATGCAGCCAGTTTTACTGTATTTTTGTAATTCTGTCTTAATGCCTATGAAAAAGACAGACAAACAGACATGAATTGATTTTATTTTTTTTCATTTAATATTCCAGTAAATATTTCTCAGTTGATAGCTAATTCTAAACAAAGTAAATTGCAGAACAAAACTTTGGATGGAACCCCATACATCAGTGTGTGTTGGGGACTGACTGCCTAAGGAGCAGGTCTGCAGAAGGGGACCTGGGGGTACCGGTTGGCAACAAGTTCATTTAAGGTTGAAGAAAGGAAGGTTGAGGGACAGGAAGGGATAGGGAATCTGGTTGCTGAAGGGGGGCCTTATCAGCTGGCCTTTGCAGATATGTACATAGGCATTAGCATATGCTGAGATGGAATTGTGGAACTACACTGCTCAGAGTAGAAAAATGATCTAATGCAGCACTGTTTCAGCTTCATAGAAGGGCCTATCAAAGCTGGAACTTGGTAAAAAGATAAGTCCTTTCCTGATTTGCAATGAATGCAGGTGGCATTGACCCTCTGATACGAGGCATGGTTGTTGATCAAGCAAAACTAATGAAACAGAATCAACTGCTTGTTGAGGAGCTCCAGAACCACCTTTTTGAACAGACTGCTTTAATGGGTCTGGATCTAGCAGCCCTGAATTTGCAGCGGGGAAGAGACCATGGCCTTCCAGGTAAGGAGACACAAGTCCACAGATCCTGTGAATAAAATTCCTTTTTCTTTGTTGTTTATAGCAGCTTCATGAATGTACCAAGCTTTTTCCAAACCAATGGGGGAAAACAAACAAACAAACAAACAAAAAAAAAAACCACACACACACACACAAGAAAAAAAAAAGTACTTTGATTTGAGGTGGAAGAATGGATAGACAGACTCAGGGAAGAAGAGTCTATTATACAGATTTTTCTCTGAGGAAGTAAGAAGAGGACAAGGGACCTGGAGAGCAAAGATGATAGTTGGAATAATGTATTAAAGGGTGGAAGAAGCAGTGGTGTATTGCCAAGAAAGCGTGTGGTGTACAGAAGGTACAGACCCAAGTGACAAAGTTCAATTTTCATCTAAGCTGGACAGACCATCTGTTCTTTGCCCATCAAGACTCGTTTTATGTCTTCAAACAACCCACAACTCTGAGCAGAAGTGGTTTTTACCCATGGGGATGATTGCCTCCAGGTGCTGCAGAGGAATTGGTGTTTTTGGGATAAGCACAACAAAATGTCTTTCCTACAATTTTGATCATAGGCATTTTGCCTCCTGCAAGAACTGGTGCATTCACCCTCAGTACCAGGTGGCTCTAAGTGACAGGATGGGCTGAACTGGTAGTCATGTGTAAAGTAAACCCAAAATGTTAGTATGTGCATATAAAAACAACTTTTGAGAACATCTGTTGTGACTGTCTCTACCTAGGTAAGAATGTCTTCCAAATCCTTTAATGCCATGTGAAGAAGCAGATGTTGCTCATGACCTCAGGGGTCTGTTTAGCTTCTGAGCATAAGCAGATAGTGGGGAGACATGGGTCCTGACCAGCTTCTGCTTTTGCAGGTTACAATGCCTGGAGGCGCTTCTGTGGGCTCTCCCAGCCTCAAAGTGTAGAGGAACTCTCTGAGGTGCTAGGCAACTCCAAATTGGCCAAGAAGTACATGGACTTGTATGGGACACCAGACAATATTGACCTTTGGATTGGTGCAATTGCAGAGCCCTTCATTCCCCAGGGTAGAGTCGGGCCCCTCCTGGCCTGCATCATTGGCACCCAGTTCAGGAACCTGCGTGACGGAGACAGGTAGGTGGCTCTCCCATGGCATTTATTATGGGGAAAAATGGTTACATTTTATGCCTTGCACTGATCCAGCCCATCTCTAACACATCACTGAGTGCTCCCAGAAGGACTCACACCTTGATTTTAGCCCTAGTTGTCAAAGGGTTCTTTCTTACAGCCCAGCCATACAGACCCACGTGTCTGAGGAGCACCAGCTCCAGGCCATGGGTGATCTGCAGCAGACTCTGCTTGAGGTGACATTTGCTCTCAACGTACAGAAGGGAGGAGGATCAGTCACTGTGTCCCAGCAACCTGGTGATGCTGTGTACCAGCAGATGAGTGTGGCAGAAGTCACACCTGGAGACACCTCTTTCCAAAGTGTTGTGCCTATGGCCTGATGAATTAAGGTGGATCTGAACTGGGATTCATCTTGGCCAGATTTCCATTTTGGGAAGTAAACAGCATCGAGTGCCTTGAAGGAGACTATAAGCTGCTTCTGTAAATATCATTGCAGATTCTGGTGGGAGAAACCAGGAGTTTTCACTCTGCAGCAGTTACATGCACTGAAAAAAGTCTCTCTGTCGAAGGTGATCTGTGATAATACTCATATCAAAAAGTTACCCCAGGACATGTTCCAAGCCAACACTTATCCTGAGAACTTCGTTGACTGCCATGAGATTGATATGCTCAATCTCTCAGCCTGGAAAGATGAACCTGAGAGTGGCAGGAAAGGTACTCAGGGGACTTCCCTTGTCTCTCGAAAATACTAAATCTGATCTACGCTCTCCTGCGCCTAAAGAAATAAAAGAATTATGGTCATCATAGTGATCCTGCCCCCAGAATATAGTATGTCCATCCATTCAGCCCCACTCAGACACAACAGGAAGCGCACAAGCTGTTAGCCTACTTTTCTCATAATCCACTCCTTAGCAGCCTAATTCTTCCTCTTCAACTTGATGGAAAATCCCTGACAGTCCAGTCTGTTTTGGCCCCTGTGAATGTGTCCTTCTCTAGGAAACATTCCAAGTCAGATAATTTATTCCAAGATATCTGGAGTCTTTCTTCATAGGGAAGGTGTCTATGAAGAAATCAATCAGAATTATCCAAACTGCTTCAAACTCTTACTCTGCTGGTCTAAGCCCCTATTTTCCTCTTGCCTTCCCCGAGGAATTACAGTATTTTAAGTTACACTATCAAATAAAAATGTGGAGAGGAATACTGTGTCCAGCAAAGACTTTCTGCTATTCAGTAGCCTTTTCTGCTTCATTTATAGCTTCTAATCTTGCTCTTCCAACAGGTACTGGAAACTTCTTTTGACGGCACTAAGCTGTGCATACTGCCTATATGTCATGTTCAACTAACTGCTGTACTGAGCATCTGGCATGTGTTTTCCCAGAGAGAAGCTCAAGACTGAGACCACTGTTTTATTTGCTGTACTGTATTTTTTCTCATTCTTTTGTAAAAGCTTTCTGTAATTAAATTATTCAGATAAAGTAGTGACATTTTATCACCTATTGCCTTAAAAATTTTCCGAGGTTTACAAGACTCAGTTAGGTGCCTTTTGTTTTCTGAATGTTTAAAAGCACAATCAAAGAAGAAATTTTCTGCTTCCCATCCTGAAGGGGAGGGAAATCTAGAAGCCAAGGTGCTTGCATGAAACAGGTTTCAAACATTGTCCTTATTTATGATCTCTTAGTTACAGAAGTAGTAATTTAGCCTTCTAAATCAAATTCCTTATCCTTTGTATCTGCTCAGAATCTAGCAAGTGCATGTAACGTAAAATCTTTATCCCAATGTTACTTATCTCCTTGTTTTGCTAAAGAGTGTAGCTTGGAGGGGGAGGAGAAGGGCTGTTTCTAGTTAGCAGTGAGATTTCACTCTTGGAAGATGCTGGAGAATGGCAGCTGCATCCTGAAGCCTAGAGACAACTTTTACTTAACTCCATTGTGAAGATGTGTTTGTGTTGAGCATTAATAAAATACATTAAATGCACTCATCTGCATTTGGCATCCATTCTGGTATGTCAAATATCTGTCCCAAAATATTCTTTGACTATGGTTCATAGCTAAACTTATCAGCACAAAAAAAACCAAAAAACAAACAAACTGTAAATTGACTGGTATGTAAACCACAAACGTTAGGGCTAAAAATTAATCATCTGGTAAAATGATCACTCCCAAGACTGTATTAAATCAGTAAATACCAAACATACAAAAATTATGTTAAGTTTCCATCTCTCCTTGGCACAACCAGGAGGGAAAGAGGGGAATGGGAGCGTGAAGGCAGCAGTTTAAGGTGGAATCATGCCTGAAGTTTCTGGGTGGATCAGGTACCTCTCTGGCAAGGACTGATGAAGGAGATGCTTGTAAATTTCCATGGCTACAGCAACTGCATGCAGGCTTTGCCTAGTGGGTGTGCAGGTATGTGTGTCTCAGCCCAGAGTGCCCCACGCTTCACACTGATAGTTGCCAGGTGTGTGATTGAGCATGTGGACCATGCTGCTTCATGAGCACCCAGCATGCTGGGAACAGGGTAAGGCAGTGATGCCCTTGGGCAGAGGAGGCCAAGATGCCAGGCAAGCCAAATAAATGCAGTCCTACCAGAGGTGGCTGTTCCCCATGGTCCCCAGGACTCACCTGGCCAGGTTTCCTAGGCAGCATAGACCAGATCCAGGTCTTTTACAGCAACAGAGACCCAGACACTTCTCAGGTCCTTGCTCATAGGACTCCTTGGGGGTCTTGTAGAGCTGCGTCTCTTCCAGACCATGGCTACCAGGCTGGCCCATATACAAACACAAAACACTTTTACTTTTTCAATCACAAACAGCCAATGGTAAAAATGAACTTCAGTGCCTGAAACACAAGCTTTTTTTTTTTTTTTTAAAAATGATATTTGATAATTTGATGTCTACTGGTGCTCTATTCTCCCTAACCTGCCACAGAAATTGTGTTGAGGAGATGGAGAAGACAGAGAAAAACTAGGAAGTATTCAGAAAATTCATTCTGGGAGCAGCTGCAGCTTCCAGAGTGTACTTGGATTGAAAAATACGTGTTGTATTCAAAATCACAAGATTATCATGTTATGGTAAGGGTGTCAAGCAATACCTTTCTGCTGTTTGCCTCTGAGTCCCCTGGGCACATTCCCTTCACACTTTCAAGGTTTGCCCATCTACTGAGTGCAAATTCTTACTTTGCTTAATAGGCAGGCCGAGGGAGGGAGGGAGGGAAAAAGAAAGAGAGAAAGAGAGAAAGAAAGAGAAAGAGGAAAAGAAAAGAAAAGAAAAGAAAAGAAAAGAAAAGAAAAGAAAAGAAAAGAAAAGAAAAGAAAAGAAAAGAAAAGAAAAGAAAAGAAAAGAAAAGAAAAGAAAAGAAAAGAAAAAGAAACACACACACACAAAAAAAAAACAGAAAACACTGACCCCTGCAGACACACATAAAGAATGCGTTGGTCTTTAATTCCCCTATAATAAACTGTGTTGGCTTCCACCTCTTGTGGCAGAGGTAACTCCCAAGTCCTCCCCATGGTAGGAGACAGTGCTTTCCCCTGCATGTTCTTGCCAGGGGATCGTGGTAACCTTCTAACCCCAAGACACCCAGGCAGGATGGCCATAGGTTCAGGGATAAATGCCTCCACCTTGTTGGTTTTGAACAGGAAAAGGTAATCATAAGCACACAGAGATGATCACAGGAAAGGTCTAGCTCTGTCTGGGGTCCAGCCAGAGAGATGTTCTCAGGGTTATGATTACGAAGAATTGTCCTGTTATCCATTATGTGTCTGTCCACAGAGCTGAGGCAGCACAGTTCTCTGAAAGGAACACAACCATTTCACTACTTCTATGTAAAAGTTTTTCTTCCTCTGTGGACATTTGGCCTGTCTCTGGTGTATCAGTGTTGCAGTCATGGTTGTTTCTGTTTCCAGACCTTTTTGTGGTTCCTGGATCACTAATGTGAAGACCCATTCGTCATTCCTGATATCCCCTGATAGGTGGTGATCATGGAATCACGGACCTGCTCAGTGAGCTTGGGAACATCTTCTGGGCCTTGACCAAGAGTCTTGACTTCTGGCAGGATCTGGATGGTGATTTTCCCTGGAAGAGTAAGACAGAAGGGTCAGAGGGGAATGAAATATGTGAGTGGTATGGGAGAGCAAGAGAAGCTATGGCAGAGGGATTGGTGCAAATCAAAAGACATGACAAAAATTAAGGGAAATGTGTTCTTTCACACCAAAACAGCTGTATAGCAACCTAGTTATATTCCAGATGCACGCAGCAAAAGCCCAAACAAGATTCTTCCCATGCAGAGAGACCATCAGTCATGGACACTCATTTATATCCAATGCAAAAAAAACAAGTGGAATATAAGATTTCACAGTGGGAAGAGGTCACCCACAAGTCCTGGCCCTAGACCTCAGAGTCTGTCTGGATCAGGGTAAAGAGAATGAGAGGTCTGTAATACAACACATCCAAACTGGACATGCTCTGGCCTATGTATAATGAATTCAGAAGAGTCTTTCTTTACCAAAACGCACTTAGTTATGAGAGGAACCATGCCCAGAAAAACTTGGTTTGCCAAGATGTGTCTCAGGAAGTGCCTTAGCAATGAAATGGTGTAAACAGGAAGGATATACAGGGGAATTGTCATGATGCTCTTCTGTTCTTGCACCCAGTCGCCCTTGTTCTGGACAGTGGAGACAAGACACTGCCTGCACAGACAATCACCTAAAGATCTGGGGAGTGTCCGTATTACTTTTAACTTCTTTTTCATGCCTTTATATGCGTGCTAGGAAATAGGATCCAGGAGTATTGCTGGCAGAGCCATGCAAGGAAAATGAAACAAAAGCACAGAGAATAGCTTCCCAAAAGAAGAGGGCATGCTCCCTGCCTGCACATATACCCACAAAACACATTAAATGCAAAGCTAGGCCTTGTATCTCAGGAGTCTACTACACTTCTCTTGGTGTTGCAGAAAAAGCTGAATGATGACAAGGTGGTGCTAGAAGTGCTGCTGCTGGGGTATAACCCCAGCAACACCCCACTTGCTCCATGCATGATAGACAACTTCAATGTGCAGACACTGGACACCAGCTGGACCTTCCAGAAGTCCATCAGCATGCCCAGAGCCACTGGGGACATGGAGAACTGTCCTGGCCTGGTGATCAGCCTGCTCAACATGCAGAAATCTTGGGCATGTGTAGCACATCTTCAGAATCAGCCCTGGCAAAACTTCCAGATGGGAAAAGCAGAGAGGTACAGGAAAAGCACTCTGTGGTCCTTTCTTCAGATGTGAAAGTCCTTTCTATTCAACAGCAATTTGGAAATGACTGACCCTGAAGAGTGCTTAGAGGTCACAAAAAATCCCAGCTAACCACAAACTCCCAGGTTTTGGGGGGGTTATTATAAAGGTAAATGTACATACAACTGCAAATAGTCTTTTCTGAAATGTTTGAGAAGGTTGTGGAATCTGCTTTCTTGGAGTTACACCAAATTTGGCTGGATAAGGCACAGAGCAAACTCATCTTTGGAGATGGTCTTGAGTGAAGTAAAAGGTTAATCTAACAAAGAGGTCCCTCCCCACTGCATCTTTTTTCAGTCTGCATAACTTTTTCTGAGACCTGTGTTTGCTTTTGCTCCCCAGCTTTCCATGCACCTGTAGATCCAAGGACAGCAGTGGAGCCAGGGCAGGATCTGCCCTAGGACTCTGCTGCTTCTCCAGGTTCCCTCATTGGACAAGCTCTGAGAAAGCAAACAGATGAGTATTTCCTGAAGTATTCCACTCCCTCTCCTCCTGAAAAGAAAGAAACTGCCTTTGTCCAGCTGCAATCCCCACACTGCATGTGGTTCTCTGCCCACCCACCTCCTGGCTCCCTCCAAGGACTGAGCCCACACAAGCTGCCAGCCTGCTTTTTGCCCCAAGTAATCCTCACCTGGAGTGAATCTCTTCTCCTTCTGGCTGTAGAAGTCATTGTAGGATGAGATCACCACAGGAATAATGGGAACCTGGAGGGGAAGCAGTCTACAGTAAGTGAAACTGCAAATTTCTCTGTTCCTCACCCAAGAAGGAAATGGTGTTTTCAGATGAACCACATACTTTGCTGATAACTATCCCAGTTAGCTTCATAGTAGACACTAAAAGGGATATTTCAATCATTTAACCATATTACCCAGTGTCTGCACTGTTGGTTTTTATTTTTTATTCTCTTTATTTAGGCCAACAGTGGCTGGATTGCCAAATACAGGCCTGTTCAGCAGGAACTCTCCTGGAAGGTCCAGTGCTTTTGTCAAGGTTCCCCCACTTTTTTTCCCAGGCAGAGTCACTAAGGTTTTCTACCTGTCCCAGAAATGTCTCCCTCCTGTGCCACCTGCAGGCTCCTGCTGGGCTCCTGGATGGGTGCTCAATCCAAAGGGAAGTCAGGGACCAGGAGCCTTGTAGTCCTGCTTGTTGGTGGACCATGGTAGGCAAACTACATCCCCAGTGGCAGGAAGAAGGTGGGTCTCACCTGGGCTTTCACAGCCAGCTGGAAGGCCCCACGTTTGAAGGGCAACATGGAGCCACTATGATTGCGAGTTCCCTCAGGGAAGATCAAGACACGGAACTGCAGGAGGGAGAAGACATTGAGATGAAGGGATCTCGAGTTGCTATTCAAAACCGCTGCACAGGCATACTGTCCTGGGACTGATCTGTCTGCTCCTGGTGCCATGAAGAGACATGCACTTCCTCCACTTCAAGCACTTTCTGGCCACAAAATATAATTAACCCACCAGAGGAGCTCTTTGTTCTGTTCTGCGCCTAGTCCAGAGACCAAGATCACCTTCCACATACATCAAGGTTCACATTTTCCAGTGGCTCAAAATGCCTCCTGCTCCCCACCAAAGGGTCTTCCCCACTCACATTGTCTTTGTGCATGGAGTGTGCCACCTCTGTCAAAGTAGCGATAGACTCTTCCCTCTTCTTGCGGTCAATGAAAATGATTCCTGCAAGCCAGCATGCTAGGCCAAAAGTGCCCATGTATAGTATTTCCTTCTTTGCAATGGCCACACAGCGACTTGGCAGTATCTCCATCATCACTGGAAGGGAAGAACAAGGACAGAACAAGTGTTATTCTACACTGACATTCCCTCCAGCCTCTGGCCTACAGCCCTCTGCTCTGGGAAATGCCATACCTACAGCTTCTGCAGCTCCAACCCAACCTCACAGGGTCATAAGCATGTTGGAAAAGGGATTCTGAGGGTCTCCAGATCAACCACCCACTTAGAGCAGGGCTATTGAATAAGATCAGCTGATGTTCTCATCCCAATTCTGTTGCAAAGGATGAAGCTGCTTTAGCTTGAAAATGACTGTTGTGCTCTAATGCCCTGGAACACAGACTGCCTTGAGGCTAGCTGGGATGGACTGTGTAGCAGCTACTCCTGCCCTTCTGTCTGTGGTATTAGGGATATCATAAATACCATCCCTTCAAGAGCAGTGGAACCAGGAGCAGAAGACAGGATCAGGTTCTCCACATACCCATAATGTCAAGGGAGGTCTGGTGATTCAACACTAGTACAAAAGGCTTCTTGGTCCTGAGGTTCTCCTTGCCCTTCACCACTATCTTGATACCGAAGATGTATTTGAGTGGCAGAAATGACATGCTCAAAAACCTGGAAAAGGGAAGCAGATGTGAGATAAAGAAAAGCTAAAATTGAGTAAAGGGGCCAAAAAAACAATCTTCCATGCTAGCCCATCTTACAGACTACTCCTGGAGAGTAGCCTGTTTCTCCACAGTCCAAGATTTGATCCATTATTGTCTGTCTTGGAGAAGAACTACTAGTATGGCTCCTCAACTCTCATTAGAGAAGACAAATACACCTGGTAGGTTTTCTTCAGGACAGTTTAGACCAATGGCCCAGCAACTCCAGCTACAGAAATTCCATGGATCAGCCAAATATCAGTTAATCATAGAATCATAGAAACACAACGTTGGAAAGGACCTACAAGACCATCTAGTCCAACCGTTCTCCTATCACCAATACTACCCACCAAGCTACTAAATCATATCTCTTAGCACCTTGTCCAGGAACTTCTTGAGCACCAGGAGGGACGGTGACTCCACCACCTCCCTGGGCAAGCTGTTCCAGTGCCTGACCACTCTTTGAGAGAAAAGGTTTTTCCTGATATCTAATCTCAATCTCCCCAGGTGCAACTTGTGGCCATTTCCTTGAATCCTGTCATTAGTTATCTGAGAGAAGAGGCCGACCCCCTCCTCATCATAACCTTCCTTCAGGAAGTTGTAGAGCGCAATGAGGTCTCCCCTGAGCCTCCTCCAGACTAAACAGTCCCAGCTCCCTCAGCTGTTCCTCATAAGACTTGTGCTCCAGATCCCTCACCAGTTTTGTTGCCCTTCCCTGGACATGCTTCAGGGTCTCGATGTCTTTCTTGTAGTGAGGGGCTCAAAACTGAACACAGTACTTGAGGTGCGGCCTCACCAAAGCTGAGTACAGGAGGATAATCCCCTCCCTGCTTCTGCTGGCTATACTATTTCTAATACAGGCCAGGATGCCATTGGCCTTCTTGGACACCTGGGCACACTGTTGACTCCTGTTCAGCCGAGCACTGATCAACACTTCCAGGTCCCTTTACTCTTCACAGTCTTCTAGCCACTCTGCCCAAGCCTATAGGGTTGCATGGGGTTATTGTGGCCAAAGCGCAGGACCTGGCACTTGGCCTTGATAAACCTCATCCTGTTGGCACAGCAGCCCAGCCTATCCAGATCCCTCTGAAGGGCCACCATACCCTCAGGGAGATTGACACTACCTCCCAGCTTGGTGTCATCTGCAAATTTACTGAGGGTACACTCAATCTGCTCATCTAGGTCATCAATAAAGATATTAAACAAGATAGGCCCCAGTACCAACCCCTGGGGGACACCACTTGTAATGGGATGCCAGCTGGACTTAACTCCATTAACCACTACCTGGAGGGACACAGTCCTCCAGCCAATTCTTTACCCAGAGGAGAGTATACCTGTCCAGGCCATGGGCAGGCAGTTTCACCAGGACAGTACTGTGGGAGACCATGTCAAAGGCTTTGCTGAAGTCTAAGTAGACTACATCAACAGCCCTTCCCTCATCTACCAGTCTGGTCACGTGGTCATAGAAGGAGATGAGGTTGGAAAAATACGACCTGCCTTTCATGAACCTGTGCTGGCTGGGCCTGATCCCCTGGATGCCACGCAAGTGCCGTGTGATCTCACTCCAGATGATTTGCTCCATAACTTTCCCTGGACAGGTTGACAGGTTTGTATTTCCCTGTGTCCTTCTTATGGCCCTTCTTGTGGGACTCACATCGGCAAGCTTCCAATCCTCTGGGACCTATCCAGAGAACCAGGAATGCTGATAGATGGTGGAAAGCAGCTTGGCAATCACCTCCACCAGCTTCCTCAGCACCCAGGGGTGGAGCTCATCTGGTCCCATGGACTTGTGACATTCCAGATGGAGGAATTTAAGTCTCTAACTAACTATCTAACCAGGTCTCTAACTGTCTCTTCCTGGATCACGGGAGGGGGGATTCTCTACCTGAATCACAGGGGACGTCCAGGTCAGGGAGTAAAGTACCCTGAGGATAACTGATCTGACTATTAAAGACAGATGTAAAGAAGTCATTGAGAACCTCAGCCTTATCCTTATCCTCAGTGACCACATTTCCAGCTGCCCAAATTCACAGTGCACCTGTTTATACTCTACTCCCCTGTCCACATTGCTTAATCTTGAATATGGGCAGCAGTAAAAATTTTGTGCATCTGACACTGCTATTTCCCAGATGGTGGGAAGAGAGGTGATTTTGTCACTGGATCACAGACTGCAACTTGCACAGACAATGGAAAAAATAAAGATCAAAGTCAGGCACAAAAGTCAAGAAAATTTCTTAAAATGAAAAGCTGGGAACTTGCACTGCAACATACACCTTCTGAAGTAGTGAATCCTTTCCCTGGTGCACTTTTAGGGGTTACAAAGTGCTAGTGCTGCTGTGTAGCAGTTGGCTTCTAGCTCCCACTTACCCCATGCCCTAAGAAGCTGTCCATTAACATGTGCTGCTGCAAGTCACAGCTCACACAAGTACACCCAGCTGCACAGCCCCGTGGCTCATTGCAAAGGCAGAAATGGATGGGGAGACAGAATGGGCAGTGAGGGCAGAAGCTCAGAGACTGACAGACCTGGGCGATTTCAGTGATGGGGACATCACAGAATCACAGAATTTCTAGGTTGGAAGAGACCTCAAGATCATCGAGTCCAACCTCTAACCTAACGCTAACAGTCCCCACTAAACCATATCCCTAAGCTCTACATCTAAACGTCTTTTGAAGACTTCCAGGGATGGTGACTCCACCACCTCCCTGGGCAGCCTGTTCCAGTGCCTAACAACCCTTTCAGTAAAGAAGCTCTTCCTAACATCTAACCTAAAACTCCCCTGGCGCAACTTTAGCCCATTCCCCCTCTTCCTGTCAGCAGGCACGTGGGAGAACAGGCCAACCCCCACCTCACTACAGCCTCCTTTAAGGTACCTGTAGAGAGCGATAAGGTCGCCCCTGAGCCTCCTCTTCTCCAGAACATCAGTGACAACTCAACTCTTCTCCAGACATCAGTGACAACTCAAAGGTGCATGCCAGCAGTGCACCGTGGTAATGTGGGCACTGGCTGAGAATAAAGTAGTGGGGAGAAAAAGAGAAGAGTACCTCAGAAGATTTCTCAACACAGCTTAGAAGGGGAATGACCACCCACAGGGAGGCAGGAAACAGCTCTGAAGACCAGTTAGGAGTGGTTTACTGAAAAGAAGCAGGTTACTTTACCTGTGCGTTATATTCGGTTTGTTGGTATTACATGGTTTGTCAAATTCATCACCTTTTACATCCTTTCCTTCCTCATCATTAATTATTCTTTCTATCAAGTAAAATCCCCAAAACTGCCTCCATTCTCTCAATTGCAGAACTATGTAATACCGCACATCAATATAAAACTAATTCCTCCCCACTGCAGCACAGTTCCCAGGACTCTCCAAAACAGAGAGTTGACTGCATCAATGCCCAGAGCGGAAAGAAGCCCAAGCCAACTTACTTCATGTTTTCACAGTTACGTCCACGAGGAATACTGGCGGTAATAACCAGAAGGCTTATGGTGAAGACCCACAGCTTATAGAAGCACATCTTGCAAAAGAATCTGAACGCAGGATACATCTGGTAAAGAATTAGAAATGCAATGAGCAGAAAAGTAAATGGGTAGCGAAGAAGCAGTAGCTCCATCCTTTCAGCCCAGTGTTAACCAGAGGAGTGTTGCCCGGAACAGTAAATGAGTAACTAGCATCCAATGCTGCAGAGCAGAGTTTAGCTACATGTTCAGCTACATGTGGGTGGCACAGCCTTGTTCAGCTACATGTGGGTGGCACTGCACTGGAACGAGATTTGGGAGATCTTCAGCAAGGCTGAATCTTGGAGTTAAAGTAACCATGGAAAGCCGGTTTAGCAAGGGAGCTGTGGCAACACTGTGTGTAGGAGCTGGCTGGCAAGCAGAGGCAAACATGCAATAGCAAGCCTGTGTATGTGAATGATCTGGTGGGGCTCTCAACTGGTAGAGCAACGACTGTTTGGAGAGAGAGACGGGGGTTCCCCTTCATGGGCAGGGATCTTTAACAGAAGCATTCATTTGTGTCAAGCTCTGTGCATAAGAACTTAAGAAATCTTTAACAGGAGGGAGTGTGATGTTTTGGACAGCACAGGTACCCAGCTGTTGTGCTGTCTAGAATGCCTCACCCTGTGCAAGCATCAAACTTCACCAAGTGAGCTGACTGCAAGAGGTCAGGAAATCAGGAATCAATATTATGGAGGAGAGATAGAGAAAAACAGTGATCATACCAGCCAATTCCTTGCCCACACATGCAGGCATTAGAGGCACCAAACTTAGCAACAGGATGTTTCTCAAAGAGAGGGGGAAAAGTGACAAAAAAGCCACCTGTCTAGACAAAAAACAAACAAAGCTACTCCAGATGTTTTCATGGCCAGAGTCAGGCACATGTTTAGACAACATCTCCATATGTAAGAGGTAAATCAGGAAATCACAGGTAGAACGTGGGAGTGCTCCAGCAGTACTTTAGCTCCTAAAACACAGCATGAAGAGGATCTTCACAAGCATAATGACAAGGCTGAGAAACAAAAGCTTTGTGTCTCATCAGTTGCACAACAGGCCTTGCTCAAGCAGCTATCACTTAAGTGGAGTAATATTACTAAATTCCAAATGGTACCGAGATCTACAGATTCTCAAAGAACATTTGGAAGACTCATAAAGCAACATCAGTTTTCAACCACAACCTAAAGAACAAAATCAAATCTCCAAGAATAGTAAAAGGGGCAAGACTCAGCAATAATTCATGAAGAAGGAAATGGCAATAAAGAAAGACATCAGCTGTGCTCCCTGTTCCTTGGGTTTAACCAGTGACTCCTCTTCTCCTCCCATCTTTTGTGGGAAAACTGGAGATAAGTGAATACTCAAGGTTTTCTGTGACCACAGGACAGGCAGCCAAACCTAAGAGTTTCAGTGACAGCTTCCTCACTCCATAGTGCTTCCTGTTGCATCAGTTGAGTATCCAGGAAGGTATTGCATGGTGAGGAGAGACACCTGGCCCTGCACCAGCACGTGACAAAGGCAGGCACAGCACAGCACCTGGGCACTGTGACCCCTCTGTGCCAGTGCTGCAGAGATTAGCTCTCTTTTGGAGCTCATTCACAGAGACCAGCCATGGCTGTTTTGTTGTTATCTAGAAGCCAAGTTCTAGTCCATCAAATAGTTGTATTCCTAATGCCTTTTAAAATTCTCCCATCTCATACGAATCCTATCAATAACAGTCATGGACTTTCACAATTTCATGCAAGCTGATTTGACAAGCAACTGGTTCATCCTAAAATGTAATGCCAGTGAAAGGGTCTTTGAATGGCTGTTCTGCAAGGACAGCTGTAGCTGTCAAATCAAGATTGCTGTTGTCAGGCACCTAATGAGAGAGGAACACCTTACACAACTCTACACGTGAAAACTCACCCAGAACATCTAGGGACAAAAAAGGGAGCAAAAAGAAATCATTGCACACCACTGAAGAGCTTTATTTTTAAGCCACTGACAGCAATTTTCAAATACATTCATCAAGGCTATAAGGAAATTATATTTCTTTAGCATACAGTGCACTACCAATCAGGTACCATAATATAGCAGGTTGATGTCTCTTACCCAAAGGAACATGGCAACCCTAAAACACCATGGATCTATGAGAAAAATGTCTCCAGCACAAATTATGGTTTCCACATGGTCAAAACAAATCACAGCCAGAGGACATAAGCAGATTTACAAGTGCAAGCATCTGTTAGCCCTCAAATTAGAGGGCCAAGTTAAGAGAGGAGTTGGCATCCATGGCATCACTGAACAGGGGCATAACCAGCATCAGCTGGGCATCACTGAGGACAGCTGCTCTCAGGAACAAATCAGATATGCAAGAGTTTGAAGATAGGCTCATGGTTATATGGGGCTTTAAATAGTTAGTATCTCCTATGAGTATGGGAAAATGAAAGGACAAAAAGAGGTAATAAAAATTATGCAATTCCCAACTCATCATGAAGAGAGAATCAGTTCAGATCTAACAACACATTTAGGCTCCAAACCCACTGATACTAAAATTCTCAGATAATATTTTCTTCCATTGCAAAGATTCATAGCATCTAGACCCATTATGCTTCCATTTCAAAAGCAGACAGCTGTTGCCTTTCAAGGCTTTTTTTTAGAAACTACAGCTCCAGTGAAACTCCTGGCTTTTAGACTAAATGTATCCATGTTCACCTGACTCCCTTGCCCCTGGATATTTGCACCTTCTTCAGAGCCTGGCCCAATTTAAATGAATCTTAGGTAGTGGGAGGAGGGTCTTGATGTTCTCAGGAACTTTTGTCATGCAGCTTCAATGACTCTGCTAAGGCATGCACTGGCCAGAAGGGAGAGGTGGAGGCAGGAAGGTGATCTGATCTAACTGGAAAAGGCTAAGAAAATTAACTTGTCCAAAGTAAGCAAATGAAGATCTCAAAATCTCTCAAAAGAGATCTGACTGTTGTCAGTAAAGCAAAGCTGGAGAGTCGGGAGAGCTGTTCAACTTAAAGGTTATGATTGACTTTTAAGTGAGAGAGGAATGATTTCAGGATGAAATAAGAGGACTGGATTCTGAAATGGGAGTGAATCCCACTGGAAACTACTGACACAAATATCTCCACTGGAAGAGACTGGAGCAAGCTATCAGAGGGCAAAGAATTGGGACTGCTCACTGCAAGGGCTGTATTGTATCAGCCAGACAGTCCTGTAATGGAGAGCAGTGCTGAAGGGAATTCACCTACTACATTCTCAGATAAACAGACATTAACACTGACGTTAAAAGTTTCACAAGGATTCCGGAGTATTAGACAAAGGTCATCAAGACTAAGGAATCTGTATTTATCATGCTCCCGCTGTACCTCCATGATGAATCTTCACATAACTCAATTGTACAAGGCACAGATTACCTTTGCATTTCTACTTATGAGTGAAGAAATAGTGAAATAGAATAGTCCCAAAATGACAGAAAAGGAGTTTCAACAAGAAAATGTGTACCAACTCATGAAACTTCCTGTAGTGTCCATGACAGAAATGTAATACAACAAGCTGGAATAACTTGTGGTCTTGGACTTTAATCCATGATAATAGAGCAGGGGACACCCAGATGAGCTCAAGACTGGAAAATAACTTAGTTTACTGCTGTAAATGAAAGAATCATATTAATAAAAAGATGGGGGAATAGACCCCTGGAGGTCTGTAGTCCAACCAGCTGCTCGGAGCAGGGTTAACTCCAAACCCAGATAAGTTTGCTCAGGGCCTTGTCTAGGTAAGTCTGGAGTATCTCCAAGGATGGAGATCCCACCAGTTCTCTGGTCCCTGTCTCGGCACTGGACCATTATGATGAGGACGAATGTTTTTGTCTAATGGGAATCTCCCTTGCTGCTGCAAGTGTCTGTCCTCTCTCATTCTTTCACTGTGCAGCTGAGAAGCATTTGGCCTTACAGCTGCTCATTAGGCAGCTGTAGACTGAAATCTCCTCCTCTCCCCTCGTCCTCTCCAGACTGAACAAATCCAGCTTCTTCAGCCTGTCTTTGTACAGCACATGCTCCAGCCCACTGACCATCTTAGTAGCCCTCCACTCAAGTGAAATGTAGTAAGTTCTGGGAGATGGTCCTGAGCAATATGGACATCCATTTGCAGAGCTGAAGCTGCTGGGGGAGGCTGAAGGTGGGAAAGAAGGTGAATGAGAGGCCATGACAGTGCCATGTTTCTGAAATCAGCAGCAGTGACTGAGCAGGGCAAACAAACGTGTCCTGGCCCCTTCCAGGGAAGTGGCTCCTTCAGGATGCACTCCTCCACTCTGTGGCTCTGCCAGATGGGGCAAGCACACTCTGAAGTCTCATCAGAACAGCCCTGATCCTGCTGCACATGCACTTTTGTGAATTTGACTAAGCAGTTTCATCAAGTTGATAAGCTCGATTAAATTTTCCACATTTCAGCCTTGCATTTAGCTAAAAATGGAAAAATAGGTACTCTGTGCTTAGTGCACACAGAAAGATCATAGGTGATTGGGCCCCTCAGTACAAGAAGGACATTGAGACCCTGGAATGTGTCCAGAGAAGGGCTACGAAGCTGGTGAAGGGCCTGAAACACAAGTCCTGTGAGGAGCGGCTGAGGGAACTGGGGTTAGGTCTGGGAAAGAGAAGGCTCAGGGGAGACCTCATTGCTCTCTACAACTGCCTGAAAGGAAGGTGTGGGGAGCTGGGGGTTGGCCTCTTCTCGCAGATAACCAGTGATAGGACTAACTTTTTCACAGTGAGGGTGACAGACCACTGGAACAGGCTGCCCAGGGGTGTTGTGGAGTCTGCTTCTCTGGAGACATTCAAACCCACCTGGACGCATTCCTGTGTGACATGATTTAGGTGTTTCTGCTTCTACAGGGGAATTGGACTAGGTGATCTTTCAAGGTCCCTTCCAATCCCTAACACTGTGATTCTGTGACTAGAGGGAATGGCCTCAAGTTGTTGCAGGGGAGGTTAAGGTTGGAAATTAGGAGATATTTCTTCTCAGAAAGAGCAGTCAGGCATTGGAATGGGTTGTCCAGGGAGGTTGTGGAGTC